CAATCATTACAAGCGACCTTGTCTAATTTGGATTTCCTTTTTTTTTTTTGGATTAATCGTAGATCGAAATTCATATATATCTCCATCGAAATTCAAATATATTCCTTCCAAATAAAATTTAAACTCTGATTTCTCGAGCTATTCTTTTACGAGATAGCCAATAAAACTATTTATATTTAACTGTTTTGTGTTTTCTTTCCAAAACTTTTCATAGTTGTTATTAATTATTGTAATAGATATTAATCGCTTATTCCACACAATATACACTTTGATATTGATATTACTCTCCAGCCATTTATTTTTAAAGTTTAAGATTCGAGGCAACAGATTCGAGTTGTACATTCGGAAAAAAAACTAGTTCAAAAGAATTTGGTTCAAGCATGCTACTTCAAATTCTCTTTTCTCGCTTGGCTTGTGGTACTAAATCGTCTCTCGACGGCAATATGTCCACTTGGAACTCGGGTAATAGTGGTCAGTGTGTGCTCTGTATTTAGGAGAATGAAAATCGAAGCCATTTATTCTTTGATTGCAGTTATATATCGGAAAAAACTTGTACATGCTTGCGTTTCGTTTGCTTGGATCACACTATACCACTGATCGGCTTCAGATATTTCAACTTTTAACGAACTTGACCATCAGAAAACGTACTCTATTCTTGATAAGATATCTCTTTCAAATGACGATATACCATATTTGAAAGGAGCGAAACTATCATCGCCATGGAGAGAACTAAAATTCAAAAGAAATCATCGTAAAAATGGTGTTAAAATGCAGCAAAACGATGCATGTAAGTTAAAGAAAAAAAACGATGCATGTCATGTAAAAGATGAGTTTTAAATATAATTTAATATTTATTTCAAAAAAAGAAAAAATCATATTTGCTACTAATCGAAATGTTCAACTTGTGATATTTTTTTGTTTTTTAATAATTTCCTTCTTTTTTTGTCATCAGATATTTTTTGGTTTTTGTTCTCTAACTCCTCATTTTTGTTGGGGTTAAAACGCAAAACTTCGAAAACTCGGAAAGTTTACACTTAAAT